TAGGGTTTCAGGATTGTTGATTCTCTGTTTGGCTTAGTTTTTCGGATCTTTGTTGTGGAGGGACGGCGTGGTGCTTCTGCCTAGACCGCCATCTTGCCGGAGTGAGAAAAATCTAATTTTCTTAACATCTAACAAGCTATTAGAAATTCAGAAACAGGCAAACAATCCACCAGAAAAATGGGCAAAGTTTATAAAGAGAAAGTTCACAGAGAAAGAAATATAAATGGTTTATAGACATACAGATATTCAATGTTCCTCATAATTAAAGCAACATAGATATAAACAATGATTACATACCATTTCTACCTATCAGACCTTACCAAAGCAGAGCTCCTGAGATGCTGCAAAATAAGTACTTGCATACACTGGCGGTGAGAATGAAAACTGGTACAGCCTCTTTGGAAAGTAACGTGACAACAAACGTAGAACTCTTAAATGCTCATGATCTTTTGTGCCATAATTCCACTCCTAGACATATATCCTACAATATGTGTACACATGTGTGTAATGACAAATGTACAAGAAGTGAAAGAGAGGAACCAACTAAAATGTCCATCAATAGGGTATTTATTAAGCAATCTAAGATACAGTCATCCAATTTAACACTAGGCAGCCATTAAAAGAATGAACTTGATCCATAAGTCATGCTAATAGAAAGCATTCTAAACAAGATTCAGAACAATAAGTACAATGTGCTCCAATTTAAGTTCTTTTAAGTATATATATATATATATATATATGTATATATTCTCCTCACTTGAAATTCATGGAGAAAATTTCTGGAAATCTACGTAAGAAATTGTTAACAGTGGTTATCTCCCAGAAGCAGACTCAGCCGGAAAGGCTACTCGCTTTTTACTGTGTGCCCTTATGCAGTATTTGAATGTTTTGCCATGAGAATGTATTGCTTTTGATAAACAATATTTTTAAAAATTGTTTTAATTCATTATTATGATATTTAATTCAGCATTGAGCTGAATTGTCTAGAAAATCAGTTACGGTACCAGAAGCCTGAGAAATTGCTAAAAATAAATGTTTTAAATTATATATCTACTAAAACATTCTATATTTTCATTACAGGAATGTATATTAAGCATATATCAAACTAAAATAAAGCACTTTTGTAAGAAAAATGACTAAATTTTTCTCTTAAAGCCTGCTTTAAAGAAATCTATCTGAAAGATTACATGAATAATGATATAGCACTAGAATATTTTATAAAATTGCTCTATGAGTACATTTGTTAAAGAGTATCTTCTTCTGGCAAAGTTAATAAGCATTCACATCAAGTTTAAATTTTCTCTCCAAAACCATATAAAACAAGCACCAGAAGAAACTGTGACAAATCATTTCCTCCTGCTTCTTTTTACTCAACTCGTACTTAATATTCTTGGAAGTCAAAAATCACTCCTCCCCACATGACAACTTAGCTTTAAATTGTCTCATTATGAATGATAAGAAAGATTTTCTGTCTAACACAAAGGCTTAAATTCTCTACATATACTATCATCCATCCATGTTTTTTGTTTTTTTGTTGTTGTTGTTGCAACTTTGTCTTTTTTACCTGCTATCAGTTTCTCTGTATCAGGCAGATGTGTAAACTGTTTTTTGTATTCCTCATTCCTGTCTTTATAGGTGGAACTTGAAATCTGCAACAATAAAAAGATTAAATGTCTATTTAATTGTGGTCTTCATTAGATTAACTCAATTATAATGACTAAATAAAAAATGGACTCTAAAATCATGTGCTTTTATGCAATATTTTGTCTATGTCCTTGTATCAAAACCCACATAAACATTTCAAAAAAAAAAAAAGGGGAAGCAAAGGAGGCTACTTGCTGTGTATGGAGTGAGGAGTTTGACAAACCTCTCCACCTAAACTAATATATAGCTGAACAAAACTGTGAAAAACAACACCTTCGACACTCTAGAAATTGACCAAAAGCATACAACAAACTGAGCAGCATTTGTTCATGAGAAGCTAGGAAACTAGGTCAGGATAGCGGGAGTCTGTGTCACCCTTTCCCAAGCCTGCTCCCATTATTCCCCCCCTCTGCCCACCTATCCTGCAAGTTACATCAGTGCATAGTTCTACCAGGGTGGAGCTGGATGTAAAAAAAACTAAAGGTATGCTGAAGAGTGGAATGGAGAGCAGAAAATGTACACCCAGAATGAAAGGGACAGCCTGAAGCTGTCTGAGTGTGAGGCTGCAACTGGGGCCAGCGGCAAGCTGGTGGGCAGATTAGCTGGGGACCTAACAGAGATCCTGGAGGTGAGACAGCCAGGGATGGGCTTCATAAGCTCTCCATGTATTCCCAGCTGAACAGAAGCTGCATGCACAAGCAGCAGGGACTGGCCATGTTATCCCCACATTCCTGGCTGGAGACACACGAGATCTAAGGGGAACATAAAAACTGTGGCAAACTTGAAAATGGCCTGGACTTTGAATTCATTCCACAATCTACACACAGGTCTATTGACAGGAGAAAACCTTATAGCTATATGTGTTTGAGCACAACTTCCAACCAATCATTGGCTGCCATAGGGGTGACCCTAGGAAGCCAGCCTTAAAAACAAAGGCGACAACAATAATAATAACTTCCCACACACCACAGGACAAAAAGATTGTGTATATTTACTTAAAGCAAGTTATTAAAAAAAAAAACACAAAAATCAGCAACAACAACCTTTGGGAGTGGGAGGGATGGAATCAACATCCAAAGTTGCTACAATATAGTCTCTAAATTGTCCAATTGTCAACCAAAATTACAAGACATGCAAAGAAACAGGAAAATGTTACTCATATGAAGGGGGCGAAAGCAGGCAATAGAAAGTCTCTGAGATTCCCAAGATGCTGGATTTAGAGACAAAAACTTCAAAGGAGTTAGTATAAATATGTTCAAGGATTTGGGACCCATGCTTAAAGAATTTAAGGAAAGTATGACAACAGTGATTCAATAAGTACCAAACCTTAACAGAGAGACAGAAATTATTAACCAGAAGAAAAAAGAATGAGAGACACACTGAAGTTGAAAAGTACAATAACTGTTTCTCTCTTTTGCTACTATTTCAGAGGTCCACTGCATTTTTCAATTATTATTTATTATTTCAATGACCATGTTTTTCACATCTAGAAGTTGTATTTGGTTGTTTTTCAAATTTGCCTGGTGTTTTTCATACTGTCTGCAGTGTGATTAATTACTTTTCTGTGTGGCCTTTCTAGCCATGCTCTTGTAACTCCCACCCAGGTGATTGGGTAAGACTGTGTGATAGGGTAATTGAGGCCCACCAAAGGGACTGGTCAGTTTTGCCTTAAAAGAGAGTCACTTCCAGAGCACAGAGGAGGAACCTACCCCCACCAAGGAAGAACAGCCAGGAGCAGAGAGCGCATCTTTGGACCCAGGATCCCTGCACTGATGGAAGAAGTGTATCCTGAGTGTCCCTGAGCCTGAACTGTAACTGTTCACTTCCCTAATAAACCCCATAATCGTAAGTATGGTCTGCGAGTTCTGTGTGGCCACTGCAATGAATTATCGAACCCAGCAGAGAAGTAGAGAGTGTTGGGCAAGAGACGGTTGGTGTCAGAATTAGTAAAGACGGCAGAGAGAGAAGGTTTATCTGGCCTCCACCTCATGGGAGTCGGCCTTGTGCTGTTGATCTTGGTTCTCCTTCCCCATTGTGGGGTTGCAGGAGGTCAGACACTGCCTCCAAGCCATTTTTACACTGTCTTATCTATTTATCATATTTTTAATTCCTTCTATTAAGTCTTTAATAATATCAAATAACTATTTTATAGTCGTTATCTGATTGATAGTTTTACTATCTGAAGTTTTGGAAATTCTAATATGCTATTTATTAATTCTCCTTCCACTTACTTATAAAGTACTAAATTCAAGCCCCAAAACTTCATGAGAGATGGACTATAGTATGTACCCTTGGGACAGAATTTTTCCCTCACCCCAAGCCCAGGCCTAGACAGACAAGCTTCCTTGTCTTCAATCTGCAGACGTAGGCAGGTTTTTTTCCTAGTCTACCTCTCAAAGAGGGTATAACTCTTCAAGAATCATGGTTCTACAGAGTTCTCAGATCCAACTCACACAAGTTCAAGGTATCATCTCCTATCCCTGTGTGGCCATTGAAGCTCTGGTTACTGAGACTAGCAAACTCCTCAGGGCTGCCTCAGCATTACCTCATGTGCGTTCAACTCTGGTAAACAGTTCTCTCTCTTTTTTTTTAAGCCCTCAGGAAATTTCCCTTGCTGTTTAATGAGCCCAGACATGCATTGTGAAGAGATGTTTGTAAAATTTTATCCAGTGTTTCTAGGTACTTTGTAGCAGAAGAGCTTTGAGGTTAAACAGTTTCCTTCCCATATTGCCAAAAATGTTAGTTACTATTCTCTTATAATTAAATGTAAAAACGTTAAAGATATCTAAGTTTTTGAAACAGTGTCTAAGTATCTATACTTAAAATTTTAAAAATGGATAAAATATGTTTTTAATAATATAAATTGTGAAATGAGTTTATCCTTTTTATCATTTAGCAAAATGAAAATGTGAAATATCCTTTATAAGCTGGAATAAACCCAAGATATGCTGACTCAGAGAGAAGAGTATGTTATAAACACATTAATTCTCATGGGTTTGTTTTTGTGTTTTTTTTTTTTTAAAGTGCAACATTAATTAATCCTTATACCTATAAATCAGGTTTGTGGCAAGTTTTAACTCCCATATATAAGCAGAAAAATATTCACCAGTGAGAAACATGACTATGGTCATGTAGTAAGTCAATGATAAAGTACAGAATCAAGACTTCTGATTTCTTGTATATTAAAAACCTTGATTATGAACTACAGAACTTCAAATCCAAATATTTTTATTAAAAAAGTCAGTACACTAGTTTCTGTACATATGTAGATAATGCTTCAAAATCTAGACTTGTTTTTATATTTTTGAGTGTTTTCTAATAAAGAAATATAAGAAATAATAAGTTTGAATTGTAGCCTCTTGTAGAAATTCTCCTGGTTATTCTTTTTTTTTCTACTACCTTCTCAAGTCAGAAAGCTGAGAAATCTGAGATTTCATTTCTTCTTTAGTCTATGTATATATATCAAGATTTTCAAATACACAACTATTCAAAGATATACCAAGGACTCCTAAAGAAATTTAATTTTAGTTACACAATTCAGAAAACTTTATAAATCTCCTTACTTTTAAAATACAATTATCAACTAAATCAGGAAATAAGTATATACTAACAACAAGTATTAAAGAGGAATTTAACACTAATGAAATACCAAGGTACAAACACAAATGTTAAATATTAAGTACCTCACCCAAAGCACTATTATGTCTATCAGAAAATCCAATTAAGTATGTCACCTTCTAAACACACACTACAGAAAATCTCAAAGGTTTTTTTCTACTCCTGGTAGTTGCTAACTCTACCTCACCAAGACAAACTACATTAAAGAAATGCATCTGCTGCAGATCTCTGCCTGCTTTTCCCCTGGGATTTTAATCTATCTGGAATATCATTATTTTAGTCAGGAAGGAAACAGACTTTTTTGTTTGTTTTATGGGTTAGTTTGGTTTTGGCTATGTATTTTTACTAACAGTTAAAGGGCAAAAAGTATAAATATTCACCATAATCTTTATTTTAAATTTAATTTTTCTTCATTTCAAATAATTTTTATTATTTCATTAGAATTTAAAAGTTAATAAACTCATTTCCCAAAATTAGGATTAAATATTTTAATTATAAAATAAAAAATACACCCACTCCTCACTTATTGACATGGTTAGGTTCCAAAGACCAGGTCGTTATGCAAAAATTGGTGTTAAATGAAAATGGAGGATGACTACTTCATATCACAATATTGAGGATGACTACATCATTACATAATTGCCAAATTATATCATTACATAACTGCAAAGTTACTTCACTACATAACTGCCAAACACTGAGAATAATGGCCCAGCTAAGGTGACACATAACTTTAATCATCTCAGCGAGCGTTACTCTCACTTCACAGCTCGGTGTTTGTTACTGCCAGATGTATGTCATTAATGTGCAAAACAGTAGGATAGTAGATTTTTTGCTATTGTCATAAATGTGAAATGTCAGATAACAAGATAGTCGATAAGTGAGGAATAGGTGTAAAACAAACATAAGAGTTAAGTTTTCTATATTTATATTATAGTATTGAAATAGAAAATTTGCAGATGTTGATCTCACTATCAAAAACAATAGAGATTTCTACACCAAATGTTCACTGCAGCACAATAGCCAAAAAGGTGAAAACTACCTAAATGTCCATCAACAGATGAATAGATAAATAAAACGTGTTATATATATATATATAATGTGATATTACTCAGCCATATAGAGAAATGAAGTCCTGATACATGCTACAACATGGACGAACCTTGAAAACATTATGCTGAGTGAAATAAGTCAGTCACAAAAGTACAAATATTATATGATCCCACTTGTATAAAATGGGCAAATGTATAGAGACCAAAGCTTATCAATGGTTAACACGGGTGGGAGGGAGGGGGCAAGGGAGTCATGGCTTAGGGGGCACTGAGCCTCTATTAATGGTGGTGGGATAATTTGGAAAAGGATAGTGGTGATGGTTGCACAACATAATGAACATAATCAACATCACTGAATTGTTTGTTGTTGTTTTGTGCCATTGAGTCAATTCCGACTCACAGCAATCCCATGTGACATAGTAGAACTGCCCCATAAAGTTTTCTTGGCTGTAATCTTTACAGAAGCAGATCAACAGGTCTTTCTGAGTGGGTTCGAGCTGTCAACCTTTCGGTTAGCAGCTGAGCACTTAACCATTTGCGTCACTAGGGCTCCTTACGTGTTTTTTTACCACAATAAAAAAAAATCTTTTTTAAGCTATGGAGATTTAATCATACTCCTTTAAATTAAAGTCCTATTGTCAGAGACACACTTATTAGCCAATCTGTTAAATGGAATGAGATTAAATGGATACGGTCTATGTGAAAACAACCTTAGCAGAAAAAACAAAACCAAAAAATGAAAAATCTTTAATAAATTTTGCTTTTTTTGTACCTTTTAGTGGTCTTCACAAATTTTTTTATTTGTAGGGAGCCATCAAAACGAATTTTCCACCACGACTACCATGGCCTCCACCAGACTGAGTCTAGCACAACTAGATGGTGCCCGGCTACCACCACTGACTGCTCTGACCGGGATCAATCACAACAGAGGGTCCCGGACAGAGCTGGAGAAAAATGTAGAACAAAATTCTAACTCACAAAAAAAGACCGGACTTACTGGCCTGACAGAAACTAGAGAAACCCGGACAGCATGGACTCCGGACGCCCTTTTAGCTCAGTAATGAAGTCACTCCTGAGGATCACTCTTCAGCCAAAGATTAGACAGGCCCATAAAACAAAACAAGACTAATGGGGCACAACAGCCTAGGGACAAGGACTAGAAGGCAGGAGGGGAGAGGAAAGCTGGTAATAGGGAACCCAAGGTCAAGAAGGGAGAGTGTTGACATGTCGTGGGGTTGTTAACCAATGTCATAAAACAATATGTGTACTGTTTAATGAGAAACTATTTGTTCTGTAAACCTTCATCTAAAGTACAATAAAATAAATAAATAAATAACTAAATGCATTTTCCAATATTATAAATCATACCTGTTGCTATTGAGTCAATTCCGACTCATAGCAGCCCTACAGGACAGAGTAGAACTGCCCCATAGGGTTTCCAAGGAGCAGCTGCTAGATTCAAACTGCCAACCTTTTGGTTAGCAGCCTGAGCTCTTAACCACTGTGCCAGCAGGGCTCCAATATAAATAATAGGTTTTCTAATGCAGCACTTTTCTACCTGTTTTCAGCTGGGATGTCCTACAGAGGTTCTCATGTAACATACTCCCATTGACCATGCCCAGTTTTTATGACTGAAGCACAGCCACCAGAACTATAAATTATGAGTACTTGCTAGCCACAACTCCAGCTCTTTCTCTCCCACTGATTCAAAACACACCAGTGTGGCAACAAAGTGGCACAAGCCCTAATTTTACAGGTGGGGTACTGAAGCCACACAAGTTAAACAACATACTGTCAAGGGCAATACAACAGGTGTGTTGCTCCTAATCTCCAGTTCTTCCCATTACATCATGTGACCCTCTCAATTCACTGCTGTGAAACAACTTATTTAGCCAGGTCAGAATACATAAATTATTCCACATTAGTGATTTTTCCAGGGTCCTGGAGTTCAACTCTTTAAATCCCAAAATTTTAATAAGTGATCAATCCTTTTTGATAGAAGCCTTCCTAACATAAAAAGGCACAAATCGAAACCCCTTTGATGTTCCAGTGAACTGAATCAGACTTTTTTTCTCCCCTTTGCTTAAATACCAGGTCACGTGTCTCATGAACACCTTCTTGTTATCCTCCTGGTCTTCCTGGTGTTACTGTTGGCTTCTCGTGAACTCTGTCACCTTAGTCAACTCATTCAATTCCTGTATTATTGCAGGGCGAGTGTGGAAAGAGAACAGAAACATGGTGGGGTCCGTGGCAAAAGCAGACAGATATAAGATGGCAGAGGAAAAATGTGTTATTTACTTTCCTGACTTGTTAAACATAGTTACTTATAGTACTGTATAAGGACTTTAGCCTCCACATTAAGAGGTTTAAGTTGCTACCCTTTTTGAGCTCCTGCTGTCATTTCTTGCTGCTGTCCATGTGTTACTGTCAAGTAATTCCTCTATCTCCAGTATTCTATTCAACCATAAAATGGGAAGCAACATATCCAGGCTTATTAAAAATATGTCAAAAATATATTAAAGAAGTTCCAAATGGAACACTTGAGAGATTCTCCATTACAATACATATCAGCATGAACTTTGATTTAGCTATTCAGGGACCTTTTTGTTTTTGTTTGCTTCTGGACTTTTGATAGTTCTGGTTTCTGGGTAACTGACCTGTGTAAAAGCCTGTAAAACTTCTCAGATGCTGTATTTGTCTTTAAATCTATCCTATGTGAATTCATATAAGCATTCCTCCGAGTAGAGTGTTTTGAATCAGCACAGGTACTGGAGCTAAGCCAACATGTACTTTTGATGCTATAAACCAGTGCTTCTCAAACTTTAATGTGGGGACCTCATGCAAACGAAAATTCTGATTCAGTAGGTCTGAGGTTGGGCCCAAGATTCTTCATTTGTAACAAGCTGCCAGGTGATGCCATTTCTGCTGTCCCCACATATTACAGGTTGAATAGTAAGGTTCTAAAACACATACACTGGAGTCCTGGTGGTGAAATGATTAATCGCTCGACTGTTAACCAAAAGGTCGGGAGTTCAGACCCACTAGCCAGCAGTCTGCTTTCTTAAAGATTTACAGCCTTGGAAACCCTATCGGGCAGTTCTACTCTGTCTTATGGGGTCACTATGAGTCGGAATTCGACTTGACGGCAATGGGTTTTGAGGTTTTAGAACACGTATTTCTTCTTTTGCTCCCTTCTTTTATTTCTATGTAATCTCATTTCCTTTTCTTGCTTTACCCCTTTTCTTGTTAAGTCAGTCAACAATAACCACAGTAACTGCTTAGCCCTGTAGACAGTCCTGGACATGATAAAGGTTCCCCAATTTATATATAAGTGACAAAAATCACAGTGCAGAGAGGTCAACATACTACAATGTTCATAAAACTTTTCTAAATGTGACCAAAAATACTATATTCAATATCAATGACATGATTTTTAGGATATGTAGTTATTTTGATATATTTCTCAGCAATCAAAGATTTTCCTGAGGATAGGGTTCAAAAAATTTTATGATAATAAGCTAGGAGAGAGGCATGGAACACATCCTTTCTCAAAGCCTCAGAGGAATCAACACAGCCAATACCCTGATCTTGGATTCCCAATCTCCACAACTGCAAGACAATACCTTTCTGTTCTTATAAGCCAAAAAAAAATTACAAGTTTCTCAGTAAGAAAGCAGAATCTGTTAGTCACGTTAAGATTCAATGGAATTTTCATGAACTGAACCGATAATTATGAACCAAATGATGGTACCTGTACTAATCCTCATAACCTGTTAATATTACGCTTTTTTAGTCTACTCAAAAATTACAGAAATTCCACTACCAAGTAATCCTAATCCTCAAGAAATTATCTTTCTAAAAAACTAATATTAGAACTATCAATGCCTTATAATCTTATCTAAATTTCACTTATAGCTGTATAATAATACCAGATTATATCACATGGCTCATAAATCTCCTAGAAATTGCCAGAGTCAGAATGAGCCCTTTAATATAATAAATGTTAGCACTCTTACGGTCACAGAAATTTTGTTCTTACAAAAAGACTCTTTGAGACATCAATATACCTAATCAACAAGCAGTTGTCTCCTTTTACAGGGGTGAAACCTGAAGCACAGCCAGGTTATGTAACCAAGCGAGGGCAGTACAAATAGAATATGACACTCCTAACTTTAAAGTTCATCTTATAATCATCATTCACCACTAGTAAACTTCATTTTAGGTACAGGAATTAATTTTTAAGATCAAAATTATGTAAAATAGCTGACTTCTCATAACACATAGAAATATGTTTTCTTTACAATGTTAGTCTCTTGCCAGTACAGTAAACAACAATGTAAGGGGAGACCAATTCCATGGTGTAGTTTTCTCAGGGCAACTGATGCAGATGATTCGACTCCAGCAAGCCAGACAACAGCACATTCTAGTGGTCAAAGGAAAGCATAATTGCAATTGTCTTTGGGTATCTGGATTAGTATCAAAGCATCTGAAATCTAGACGGTAATAAGAAAACCTACAAAATAAATTGCTTCAGACGTAAAATGTGTGTTAAAGATTAAAATGAATACATAAGAAAGAAAAAATATTACCCAAAAGCTCCAGTCACCACTCCAGTTATATAAAGTTGGTCCCTGTGTTTTAGCTGACACGACATTACTCTCATCCACAACCGGACAAGGGTTTTCCTCTAACTCTTCCTGTAACTCAGTGGCAAGGCTTGAATGCCCTTCATTCATTACCTGTAAAAAAGTATCAGACAATTTAAATTATTTAATGAGAAATGCCCATCTTACAAAAGAAAAGTTAATGTTCAAAACATATAAATTGACTTAAAAAAATTGACTTTTAAACCTTAAACATTTAGAAAACAGTAATTAATATTTTTGCTTATATAGCTCATACATTTATACATGCAACAAATCTTTTCCAACTACTGTTATTTGTTAGGTAGTTTACTTGCCACTAGGGATGCAAAGGTGAATAAAACAAAGTCCTTAACCTCCAGGAGTTCATAGTTTGTTTGGGAAAACAATAAGAATAATACAATGTAATGGGAGTGTTAACTGGTACAACCATTTCGGAGAACAATTTGCAATGTCTACTGGGGTCTAACCCCCACGTGTCTGTCACTTCGTCCTACTGTGGGAATTTGCGTGTTGTTGTGATGCTGGAATCTATGCCATCAGTATTCAAATACCAGCAGGATCACCTATGGTGGTCAGGTTTCAGCTGAGCTTCCAGACTAAGACAGACTAGGAAGAAGGACCTGGTGTCTACTTCTGAAAAAAATTAGCCAGTGAAAACCTTATGAATAACAGCAAAACACTGTCTGATATAGTGCCAGAAGATGAGCCCCTCAGGTTGGAAGGCACTCAAAAGATGACTAGGGATGAGCTGCCTCCTCAAAGTACAGTAGACTTTAATGACGTGGACAGAGTCAAGCTTTCGGGACCTTCATTTGCTAATGTGGCACAACTCAAAATTAGAGGAAACAGCTGTAAACATCCACTAATAATCGGAATGTGAAATGTACAATGCATGAATCTAGGAAAATTGGAAATTGTCAAAAATGAAATGGAACGTGTAAACATCAATATCCTAGGCATTAGTGAGCTGAAATCAAATGGTATTGGCCATTTTAATCAGACAATCATACAGTCTACTATGCCACGGAATGACAAACTGAATAGGAATGGCGTTGCATTCATCGTCAAAAAGAATATTTCAAGATCTATACTGAAGTTCTACACTGTCAATCATAAGATAATATCTATACGCCTACAAGGAAGACCAGTTAATATGACTATTATTCAAATTTATGCACCAACCACTAAGGCCAAAGATGAAGAAACTGAAGATTTTTACCAACTTCTGCAGTCTGAATTGATTGAACATGCAACTAGGATGCACTGATAATTACTGGTGATTGGAATGGGAAAGTTGGAAACAAAGTAGAAGGATTGGTAGTTGGAAAATATGGCCTTGGTGACAGAAACGATGCCAGAGATCACGTGATAGAATTTTGCAGGACCAATGACTTCTTCATTGCAAATACCTTTTTTCAACAACACAAACACTGACTATACACGTGGACCTCACCAGATGGAATACACAGGAATCAAATCGACTACATCTGTGGAAAGAGACGATGGAAAAGCTCAATATCATCAGTCACAATGAGGCCAGGGGCTAACTGCGGAACAGACCATCAATTGCTCCTATGCAAGTTGAAACTGAAGAAAATTAGAACAAGTCCAAGAGAGTCAAAGTACGACCTTAAGTATATCCCACCTGAATTTAGAGACCATCTCAAGAACAGATTTGAAGCACTGAACACTAATGACTGAAGACCAGATGAGTTGTGGAATGACATCAAGGACATCATACAAGAAGAAAGCAAGAGATTATTAAAAAGACAGGAAAGAAAGAAAAGACCAAAACAGATGTCAAGAGACTCTTGAACGTTGAGTAGCTAAAGCTAACAGAAGAAATGATGAAGTAAAAAAGCTGAATGGAAGATTTCAAAGGGCAGCTTTCAACAATGAAATGTGCAAAGACCTGGAGTTAAAAAACCAAAAGGGAAGAACATGCTTGGCATTTCTCAAGCAGAAAGAACTGAAGAAAAAATTCAAGCCTTGAGTTGTAATATTGAAGGATTCTATAGGGAATAGTAAACAATGCAGGACGCATCAAAAGAGGATTGGAGGACTACACAGAGTCATTGTACCAAAAAGAATTGGTTGTTGTTCAATTAATTCAGGAGGTAGCATATGATCAAGAACTGACGATACTGAAAGAAGAAGTCCAAGCTGTACTGAAAGCACTGGTGAAAAACAAGGCTCCAGGAATTGACAGAATATCAATTGAGATGTTTCAACAAATCGATGCAGTGCTGGAAGTGCTCACTCCTCTATGCCAAGAAATTTGGAAGATAGTTACCTGACCAACCAACTGGAAGAGATTTTTATTTATGCCTATTCCAAAGAAAGGTGATCCAACCAAATGCAGAAATAATCAAACAATATCATTAATATCACATGCAAGTAAAATTTTGCTGAAGATCATTCAAAAGTGATTGCAGCAGGACATTGACAGGGAACTGCCAGAAATTCAAGCCGGATTCAGAAAAGGACGTGGAATGAGGGATAGTATGGATTGAATTGTGTCCCCGCAAAACAGCTGTCAACTTGGCTAGGCCATGATTCCCAGTATTGTGTGATTGTCCACGATTTTGTCATCTGATGTGATTTTCCTGTGTTGTAAATCCTACCTCCATGATGTTAACGAGGCAGGATTAGAGGCATTTATGTTAACGAGGCAGGACTCAATCTATAAGATTAGGTTGTGTCTTAAGTCAATCTCTTTTGAGATATAAAAGAGATAAGTGAGCAGAGAGACGGGGACCTCAAATCGCCAGGAAAATAGTGTGTCCTTTGGACCCTGGGTCCCTGCGCTGAGAAGCTCCTTGACCAGGGAAGATTGATGACAAGGACCTTCCCCAGAGCTGACAGAGAGAGAAAGCCTTCCCCTGGAGCTGACACCCTGAATTTGGACTTGTAGCCTCCTAGACTGTGAGAGAATAAATTTCTCTTTTCTAAAGCCATCCATTTGTGGTATTTCTGCCACAGCAGCCCTAGGTAACTAAGACAAGAGATATCATTGCTGATGTCAGATGTATCCTGGCTAAAAGCAGAGAATACCAGAAATACGTTTACCTGCGTTTTATTGACCATGCAAAGGCAGTCAACTGTGTGGAGCATAACAAATTATGGATAACACTGTGAAGAATGGGAATTCCAGAACACTTAATTGTGCTCATGAGGAACCTGTACATAGATCAAGAGGCAGTCATTCAAACAGAACAAGGGGATACTGTGTGGTTTAAAATCAAGAAAGGTGGGTGTATCTTTTCACCATGCTTATTCAATCTGTATGCTGAGCAAATAATCTGAGAAACTGGACCATATGAAGAAGAACACAGCATCAGAATTGGAGGAAGACTCATTAACAATCTGCCTTATGCAGATGACACAACCTTGCTTGCTGAAAGTGAAGAGGACTTGAAGCACTTATTGATGAAGATCAAAGACTACAGCCTTCAGTATGGATTACACGTCAACATAAAGAAAACAAAAATCCTCTCAACTGGACCAATAAGCAACATCATGATAAATGCAGAAAATATTGAAGTTGTCAAGGACTTCATTTTACTTGGATCCACAATCAACACCCATGGAAGCAGCAGTCAAGAAATCAGACAACGCACTGCATTGGGCAAATCTGCTGTAAAAGACCTCTTAAAAGTGTTTAAAAGCAAAGGTGTCACTTTAAGGACTAAGGTGCGCCTGACCCAAGCCATGGTATTTTCAATCGCCTTATATGCATGTGAAAGCTGGACAATGAATAAAGGAGACCAAAGAAGAACTGACACCTTTGAATTGTGGTGCTGGTGAAGAATATTGACTACACCATGGATTGCCAAAAGAACAAACAATCTGTCTTGGAAGTACTACACCTAGAATGCTCCTCAGAAGCGCAGATGGTGAGACTTCATCTCACATACTTTGGACATGTTATCAGGAGGGATCGGTCCCTGTAGAAGGACATCATGCTTGGTAAAGTAGAGGGTCAGCAAAAAAGAGGAAGACCCTCAATGAGATGGACTGACAGTGACTGCAACAATGGGCTCAAGCACAAAAATAATCATGAGGATGGTGCAGGACTGGGCAGTGTTTCGTTCTTTTGTACACAGGGTAACTATGAGTTGGAACCAACTCCATGGCACCTAACAACAACAGTGGGATCTAAAATGGGCAGACAGTACAAGCCAGCACTATAACATGCACACGGAATCAAGGATGTTTGGAATACTAAAAAAGTAGAAACCACCTCACTGTGCAACAGTAGGGAAACTGATAAATAAGCTCTGATTCATATAAACAATGAAATACTATACAGGAGTTAAAATGAACAAACCAGAATGTATTTAAAAGCATGGAAATAAATGTGGCACGCGATGTTTCTTGAAGCTACAGGTTGTAAATATTTTAATTTGTAAAGTACACAAAATAATACTACACAATGATTATGAATGTACACGTATAGGGAAGTACAAAAACATCCAATGTAATTACACACTGAAACTCCAGGAAGGTGGTCACTTCTGTGGAAGGAAGGAGGGAAAGGGATAAAGACAGGGAAAACTGGAGGACTTTAACTGTATTCGTAGTACATTTAAAAAAAAAAAGAGAGAAACAGAAAGCAAGTATGTCAAAATATAACATCTGTTAAATCTGCATGGTGGAAACAGGTATCTGTCATTTTTTTTACTGCACTTTTCTGGCTATTTTTTACTATTCCTAAATAAAATTTTAAATTACATGTATAACACAGTACAATGAATGGCAAGATTCTGCCATCTCACTTTGTATTTTTCTATTTACCATATTTCTGTCTTAGTCTCTAATTTTCATCTTTGCTTTCTGCCAATTCGATAAAGTTTTTCTTATCACATTTTTTTTTCCTGCTGGTTTGGAGGCTACTGATTATATTTCTAACCTATTCTATCAGTGGTTACTCTAATTTTTTAAACATGTAAGCGTAACGGATTA